GGCGGTCATAACTGACCTTAAGGTGTATAAGAATATGTACAGCTTTTGATCTTTACCTATGCCACCTCTACTCTTCTATTGTCACGATCCTAGGCCTAAGGCTGAGAAGCACCTTGTAAGCCTCAATAGAAAAGAGTCCAGTAGCACCTTAAAGGCTAACAAAATTTGTGGCAGGGTATGTGCTTTCGTGAGTCACTGCTCACTTCTTCAGAGACAAGACAGCCTTTCCCTCACACGTAGGTCTTGCAGCAGATTTTCCCACAGGCCTACATTTACCAGGCACAAACCTCAGGCTTGGGCCTGGTGGAATTGGCAAGCCAATGTTTTTTTTTTATAAAGTTTTTTTTATATAGTTTTTTTATTTCATACATATAGGACAGATAATCAACAGACAAACATAGAAACATAGAAAATTGGGGAAGATTCATTGCATATTTTTTTTCATGTTGTCATTTGACCTCATAGTATAATTAAAGAGTTTGTCTTTTTTATACACCTTGTAATTTTAATAAACGCCTTTAAGGTAAGCCAATTGCTGTTGAGGAAGCACAGCCTTCAGAGAGAGAGAGATTATAAAATGGGGGGGGGGAGTCTGTTCCCTCACAGAAGCTGGGGTTGAGACTGACCTAATGGGGTCAGATGTGGAAACAGTAGTAGAGATTCAATGTGTTAATTTTGACAAGGAACTTTATCATTTTCTAGTCATCTTCTTTCAGTGTGAGTTTTACCTGGTATGTTTGTTGTATACCCTGTGCTCATGTGCCCTATTTTCATAACTGTTCTTTTACTTATTCAACTGTTATAGTCATTGGTTAACAAATTAGCCTTTTGTGATCACTCACTGGGGTCCTTCATGCCATATTTGGCCATACAGCAGGGCAAACCCTGACCAAAGAAGGAGTTGCTGAGGGTGAGCGGGGGGGGGGGGGGGGGGAAGGGGGGGGGGTGCTCTGGGACCTTACCAGTCCAACCTTTGAACCAAAGTGGCAGAAGCCAGCAAAGGCCCTTGCCTGTTCCAGTGGTGATGGGGGCAAGAGGGGAGGGTGGGGCAGGAGTGCTCCTTGGAAAAGAATCCCCACCCAGAACCAAACCCTGCATAGCCTTGCCCATTTCTGCAATACTTGCAATAAAGGGGTTCATTGTTCTGGGGGGGTTAATATTTCTGTCACACCTTTTCTTATGTGAGATATCACTAAATAGACATTGAGGTCTGCCAGGACCAATTTCAGTTGAATAGGGGGAAATGAAATTCTGTACACCTAAGGTATTGGAAATCCACATGATCCCAACGTGGTGAAAACTAACGGCACAAACCTATTTTCTGCAAACACAGAAGCCTAACCAATATGGTGTAACACTTACTGTGTTTTCGTTTTGTCCCACTTCTAGAGGGTTTTGAAGGGGGGGGGGACTATCTGGTTATCGTGCAGCTCCACAGAAATTGACATTGGGACCCATTCATGAAACCATCCATATTTAATCATACCCATATGCTATAAACAATGGACCTTATTGTAATAATCTGAGACATTTTCATATAAAACCTCACCAAAATTTTGAGTTAATACCTATTAATATCTATGACTTAATATCTATTAATATCGATGATAACTATTTGACCTAGGATTGGTGGTAGCTGAAGATCTCCTGATATTCCAAAGTGATCTCCAGATGACAGAGATCAGTTCCCCTGGAGAAAATGGCTTTGGAAGGTGGACTCTATGACATTCTACCCCACTGAAGTCCCTCCCCTCCCCAAGCCCCGCCCTCCTCAGGCTCCACCCTCAAAATCTCCAGATATTTCTCAACTTGAAAGTGGCAACCCTAATTTGACCCCAGTAGCCAATTGACAAAGTGCTTCTTGCAAATGCAAACGAAGAACAATTAAAAATAATACACTGTTATTGCCAGAAAAACCTCGTTCCAAGTTTGCTGTATTCATTCTAATGCTCAGTAACAGGCTCGGCTGAGTCCTTTCATGTGAATGTGCAATCCTGGTCTGACCAGAATGGGATATCCACCACCCATCTCAAGGAAAGGAGCAAGGCATGATCAGATTCTGTACTTAACATTTAAATGGCAAACAACGGTTTTGATCTGAGCAGCTTTTCCCCACCCAATTTCTCCCAGTTCCCTTCCTCACTACAGCCTCTGTCCCACACAGCTTTGCCAATGCAATGCTTTCCTTTTCTTTCTCACCACCAGAAAAGCTGGTTGGATCCAACCCCATTTCTTCAAACATTAGAAACAAAAATCCATCTAACATAAAAGTTGGATGCTTTGTAATTCTAACAGTGCCATTCTAAGCAGGTCTATTAAAAATCCTACTCATGTATATTAAATGGGTCTTAGCTCCCAGAAAAGGGTTCTTAGGTTTGCATTGTAAAGCCTTGAATTAAGCACTCTTTCACACTCACACTCTCTCATATACAAATACTGTGAAACGGCTTTCTGTAAGATGCTTATGAGAGTCCTGGAACATTCCCTCTCCCATCTTTGTCTAGATCAGTGGTTCCTAAGCTTTTTGTTATGGTGACCCACAATTTGATAGAACCGCAGAAGCCTGGGACCCATTTTTACAGGCATCACAACCTACAGGTTGGAAAATGCTGACCTAGATTAATATTCAAGGTGGAAAATCTCCACTCTTTAAGTAACAGCAAAAAATAAAATAAAATCACTTCACCCATGCATGCAAGGGTCCCCTTTACTGCAAGACCACAGTAATGTGAACTGGCTTATGTCACATCATTTGAAGCAAATCCCCATTCTTCCTGAGGAGACCATGCAAGGTATTACATGCCTAGTGTTCTGGATGCATAAAAAATTACTTCTAGGCAATCAGGCAGGAAAGCTTTGAAAAAGCTAGTTCTTTTAGGTCACAAACAACTAACACTGGTATGTGTGGATGAGCAGCTTAGTACAGAATGTTGAGGCTTGGTAACTGGTGTGAACCTATTGGCAAAAATTGGCCCATTCCATGTGCAACTTTGGAGCATGGGAAAGGTGTGTGCTATTGTCTACAACTGAGGGTCAATTTATATAACCAGCGGTATTTTCCCTCAGACTGTACCATTTCAGGCTGGGGGGGGGGGAGTTGCTCATGTGAATTCTCCCCATAAGTGTCATCCCTGCTCATGGAAAACCAGGATATTAAAACAAAGGGGTCCATTAACCTTTCCCCCATATGCTATTTCTTCTGCTTACAGAATGTTTTGTTTCATTCATACATGTGACACTCCACCTGCAGCAGAAAGTGGTACAATCCATAAAAAGCTGGGCTTGATTCCACTGACTGTATGCACTAGCCCCAAGACCAGAGTGACGGTTCTACCCAGAACATCACAGCAGACCAGATCATAAATCTGCAACAGTTTAAAGAAAGACAAAGCCTTGTGTTTTCCAGACCGAAACTTTCCAGACAAATAAAGAGAGAGCCTGCCTCCCTTCAGCTTAGATGCATTGCTAAAATCCAAACACATGCATGTGAATGTATTGAGAACGTTGTGGAATTAGGGAGAAACTAACCTTGATTGCTGATCCTCTGGCACAACTTGAGTCACGCTGTATGGAACAAAGGAGTGAGACCTCTATTCGTGATGCAGCAGGAGCTTGCCAAAAAGTGGAGAGGGAGAAAACAATCACAGACCCCAGAGAACTTGGTCCTAGGCAGCCCGTAACAACAACAGAATGATGGAGACAGATCTCTGGTTTTCATTTTTCAAGTCCAGCTGCTTGCTCTACTCGCTTTGTTATCCTAGCCGCTGTAACGCAGCACAAACTTTGATGAAGGTAGTTTGTTCAGGAGCATCTACACAACATATATAAAAAAATCCATCCTAATTTTTAAACAAACCTCTAAAGAAAACAGGTCCATGGGATGTTCCTTCTTCACCCACCCCCCACTTAGCACAAAATATAAGCCACGAGAGTGTTGCTGAAGTCGCACTACCTGCTGTGTTAAGATTCCCTTGCCCTCCATTGTGGAAGTACTGCTGTTAAAAATGGCAAGGCATCTATCCAACTGGACATGCAATGGGACTGATATACGGTGCTAAGTGGAGCACAAACACAAAATGCTGCCTGGATGGATTTGTTCACACACTGTATTTATCCCCAGTGCCTCTGATCTGTTGTGCACTTGGACCAAACCTAGTAAATCATGTTCTACTTTTTTTTTTTTAAAAAAAAGTCTTTGAAAATATTAGTTATTTAAAAAACCTAAACCCCCCCCCCCCAAAAAAGCTACAGATTTTTGTTTTCTGGGATAAAAAGCACACAACTTGGACTGTCAGAAATATGATAACAGTATTAAAGGTATGGATCAAGAAATGGACCTGTGTTTTTAATAATTTAAGGCTCACCAAAAAAACAAAAACCCAACTCCGACAACAAAAACATATTCTGCTAGAAGGCCGAAAGTATCACATTCACATCACGCAGGACAAAACTGATTTTGTACTTTAAAAAAACCCACCGGGGAATGTGTTACTTCGCTAAAAGTCCCTAAAGCTTTCATGAAGCTGTATGTCCTAGAAAAAAAGTGCTTTTTCCTCCCTGTTAATAGAATGATACATATAGAAAATAGAAATATTTCAGGTTGAAACTACAGTACCAACAAATAATTCATTTACTGTGTGGTGGGGAGAGGGCTGGACAAGTAAATTGTGCTACAAATGAGCTGTTTAGAAACCACTTTGTATGTATTTTTTTTACTAAAATAAATATCTGCCAGCAGCATCCATTGCACGTGTTAATGGCATCAAAGCCTCCAGGAGGTGGAGCTGGCTTAATCTTAGCTGGTTTCATAAACAGGTGACACTCCCCATGTCATGGAAAAGAATATATATTTTTTAAATCAGTGCATTACCTGGAGGTTTCTTTAGAACAGCTACCCTACTTAAAATATATCCTAATTTAAAATACTAAGTGGCAGTGCTAGGTAACCCTTCCTAATGATTCCATCCAAGCAACCCACACACCCCTTGTTGTCCCATGTCCTATAAGTCTGTTTCCCTATTGGTGTCTAGACAGAGTGCATAGAGAGATTTTTTGAGATCTACACTGCTTTTAGCTTTAATGTTGGCCTTCTCTACTGATCCGGTCCCGTTGTTGACCCCTTCAATGTTCTCCAAGTGCACAACAGATTTGTCCAAAGAGCTTTTGCTCATGCGTCTCTTCAAGTCCCCAGCTGAGCTGCCTTGAGCACTGCTGGGTTCATCCTTGAGGATGGCCTGCTCTTCGTGGTCCGTTTCCCGATGGTAGAAGTAGTTAAAGTTGGACACAATAACAGGGACAGGAAGGGCAATGGTGAGCACACCCGCGATGGCACACAAGGAGCCCACAATCTTGCCCCCTACTGTGACAGGCCTCATATCTCCGTAGCCCACTGTGGTCATGGTGACCACCGCCCACCAGAAGGCATCGGGGATGCTGGAGAAATGTGACTCGGGGTCATCAGCCTCAGCAAAATAGACGGCGCTGGAGAAGAGAATCACCCCAATAAAGAGGAAGAAGATGAGGAGCCCCAATTCCCTCATGCTGGCTTTCAAAGTCTGCCCCAGGATCTGCAGCCCCTTGGAGTGCCTGGAGAGCTTGAAGATCCGGAAGACCCGGACCAGGCGGATGACCCGGAGGATGGCCAAGGACATGGCCTGCTGCTGACCCCCGTTACCGGCGCTGCCGGGCTGCTCTCTCTTCTGCTGCTCCTGAGCCAGCTCCGTGCCCAGGGTGATGAAGTAGGGAATGATGGCCACAATGTCAATGATGTTCATGATGTTCCTGGAGAACTCGGGCTTGCTGGGGCAGGCGAAGAAGCGCACCAGCAGCTCGAAGGTGAACCAGATGACGCAGGTGGTCTCGATGATGAAGAAGGGGTCAGTCAGGGTGCTGGGGGGCTGCTGGTGCTGCTGGGGGGCCTCCCCCGCTGTGGCATTGAGGGGCGAGAGCAGGGGGACGTGGAGCTCCCGCTCGTCACGGAACTCGGGCAAGGTCTCCAGGCAGAATGTGATGATGGAGATGAGGATGACCAGGACGGAGACGATGGCGATGCCCCGGGCAGAGCTGGAGCTCTCGGGGTACTCGAAGATGAGCCACACCTGGCGCTGGAACTCGTTGGTGGGCAGGGGCTTCTCCTCCTCCTTGATGAAGCCCTCGTCCTCCCGAAAGCGCTCCATGGCCTCCTCGCCCAGCTGGTAGAAGCGGATCTCGTCGGCGAAGACGTCGATGGAGACGTTGACCGGGCGGCGCAGCTTGCCCCCGGACTGGTAGAAGTAGAGGATGCCGTCGAAGCTGGGCCGGTTGCGGTCGAAGAAGTACTCGTTGCGGAGGGGGTCGAAGTAGCGCATGCGCTTCTGGGGGTCGCCCAGCAGCGTTTCGGGGAACTGGTTGAGGGTGCCCAGCTGGGTCTCGAAGCGCAGGCCGGAGATGTTGATGAGGACGCGCTGCTGGCTGGGCAGGGCGCCGCCCCCGCCGCCCTCCTCCTCCTCCTCGGCCGCCGACGACGACGAGGGCCCGCCGGACAGCGAGGGGCCCCGCGCCATGGCCATGCCCAGCCGGTGGTGGCCTTCCTCGGGCGCCACCGTCGCCGAGTCCTCAGGGGGCGGCGGCGGCGGGGGCGACGGCGGAGGGCGCAAGAGGAGGCCGCGCGGCAGCGGCGCACAGGAGCCGCCGCCGCCGCCACCCCCGAGGGCCGCCTCGCCCTGCTCCGCC